TGTGATTGTTTCTGTGTGATTCTAATTAACTCATATTTTACTTTGCAATAGAAGCAATCATCTAATCAAGATGATTAAAATCTCTAACAAGAATAGCATCCAGAGGATGCTGGATATGTTGACTGAAAGATATAACTTAAGGGTTTAATGAGAGTTGGCAGAACTCTCTTGAGTGTACAGTGAAGAACTGGAATCTCTCTCTGCTAGGAATACCTGACATCACAGAACACACTTCCAGGAACTGAGAAACACGTTGGAGAGTCAAAGCTGAAACAAATACTCAATGAGACACAGAGGTTCCAGACATCCTGGAAAAGCATCCAAGAGCAGCTTATCTTCAACCCCAGTAAAAGCCTGTGGCAGGAAGGAGTTCAAAGATTAAAAGCAGTAGTGCTTTATGAACTTTAAAATCCTGAGGAATATTGGAGATCTGAAGCTGGGAGTCACCTATCTGCCACGTCCTTAGATCTCTCTGGGTTTTAAATAAATTGCTTAGTAGAAGAGGTCTGAAAAGGGTTTGAGTCAACCAGCCAATCTTACTACATGAACTGCATGAAGGAGCTCCTTACAACTGCAGTGGATAGCCTTTTAGGATAAAGGCTGTTTATACATTTGTGTAGACTTAATGTATTTCCTTCTGGAAACACAAATGCCAGGTATGCAGGGGCTTGAGTTTCTGGAAAGAGTCTCCTATGCAACTTAAAGCATTCTGTTAAAAATAGCAAACTCTAGATAGGCAGCTAATGCGGGGTTTGTTGATAGACAGAAATAGGAGAGACATTGCATTAAAAAAGCATCAGGGCTGAAGAAGGGAGGAAGCTCCTGACGTCGCTGACACCTGACTTCCTGTGACTTACCCTATACGAAAGGGAAACAATAGAGGGAAGGGGTAATGCTCATGGGTAAAGTGCCTGTTAATCAAACCGAAGAAGTTAAGATCCATAGAACCCACACAAATTCTACATCAAAGCCAGATGCAGTAGTTGTAATCCCAGAGTGCCTGTGGGGAAATAAAGGTTGAGAAGAAACCTCTGACCTCCACATCTGTGCCATGGCATATGCATGCCCACCTACACATGTATATGTGTATATATTTAGGTATAAATACATAATATACACATATCATTCACAGGCATAAACTCATACATGAGAGAGAGAGAATAAATAGAAAAAAATAATTACAGTAAAACTCATCTTGCAATATTTTCAGAAATTAAGGTAACAAGATAGTAGTGGGACATTTGTTAGGTTGTAAAGATTCATGGTGTAATGGCAGGCAAAGGCTTTCAGAGTACAAACTTCTTCAAACTACTTTTCCTTGGTCTTGGGGATGAACAAGAGTTTCAATTTCCCTTGTTCCAAATGAGAAGGAGCTGGAGTGCTTAGATTCTTCATGCTGACCTTTTCCACATGTGTCAATCAGTGAATATCATCCTCTTATGTGTTCATTCTGTTCATCTGAAAGTACAATAATAATGCAAACTATCTTCAAATGTCCAACAAGCTTTCTTGAGAGTGTCCAACTGTCTGATGATAAGAATGAGCCACTGTCCTTGGAGGCATATGTTATAACAGTATAAGGAAAAATTCTACATCTTAAGCCTTAGCAGTGGATATCATGCTGTGATTTTTTTGTAGTTACCTTAAAAGGAAAGAAAGCCCAATGGTGTTTACAAGGAGTGCTGTGCATTGTTGATGAGGGGTTAGTAAGATTTAATATTAGACATGTAAGAAGTGACTTGGCAGTGGAGACTTGAATTCAGTAAATATTTATCAAACGCTTCTCTGTCTCTTCCTGAAGACTGGGCATGAAGAGAAGTATTAGTCACAATCCATAGCATTGGCTCACCCAGAAATCCTTAAGCAGAGGATGGACAAATAGGAAATTCAAAACAAAAAATAGCTTGGTAACAAAGCTTATTTTTTTAGGATTTATATGTGTTTTTTAAACAATGTGCATATTTGTATATCTGTGCACGTGTGAGTGCAGTTGTGTGTGAAGAGGGCACTGGATGCCCTGGAGTTGGAATGTGTGAGGCACCTTGAACTCGGTTCCTCTGCAAGAGCAGCACAGGTGATCTTCTTGGAACTGTCTTCCCAACCTCAGTCGCAAAGCTTCTATTTTTACAGGGAAAAATCCAAAATGACTGAAAGCTAACTCAGAACACCACCCACTTAACCCGTGTAAAGCACAGTGTCCTTGCTTTACTAAGTGGAAGCTTTCCTGTACATATCAGTTCCTCTGGGAGACAATACGGCAGAGCAGGAGAGGGGTGTACCACGTGATCATGATCTGGTCACTGGCATGAATTGCCTAGCAGACCACTAGAGCCTTTTTGAAATCTCATTCCCATGAGTTAACACATTCTCAAACTGTGCTTTATTTTCTTCTTCTAACCACGATTACTCCGAAGACCTTTTGTTCACAAAGGGTGAGAACTGGAAAGAAGGGTTTCCGGAGGCTCACTGGTGTGGAAATTGAGACCCACTATTACTCTTCATTTTACTCTACTTGACATGCCCATCAAGTGCTATTAAGTTCTACCTCTCAGAGAAGTGAGAGATCATGGTTGGTTGGAGAATCAGAAAGGCTACACAGTGTGACTGGAATTTAAAAGGAAGTCTAAAAGCAGATTAAGATCTTGATGGAGCAAATAGTTGAGAATGAGAATGTTCCATTTGCAGTAGAGAATATGAGTTGAGGAAGACAAATAAAGCAGTTTGGCCCATAAAAATAGTGCTGGATAGCTAGAACAAGTGGGAAGTTGGTATATGCTGACAGAAAAGTATGTGCCAACTCTTGGAACATAGATATTGACTATGTTTTAAATAGTTTTATTGCTAAGAGATTTGTTAGAGCAAGTAGTCAGTGTTGTCGTCAGAATTTCTAGTTTTATGACAGTCCTGTCGTTGAGGTTTATCTTAACAAAATGAACAGGGCTTCCAGGCCTGTATTTATCTGATCTGGACACACATGGGTATTAAGGAAAGCCCATAAAGTACTGATGCGTTAGATAAGACAGGGTAAACTAGATGACAAAGAGGGAGGGGGAGGATAAGATCAATATTGCAATGTCGTGAGGAAGAACTCTTCATGGCTTGGCAAGTTTGACTTGGAATACTTTGGGCTGCTCTGATGAATGTGAGTGAAAGTGGAATAATGAATGATTGTGACTCTAAAACTATGTGTCTGATTAATTAGAAATACTTGGGTACAGAGGCAGAAAGAAGGCACAATGCTTAACAAGGAGGGTTGCTCTTGCAGAAGACTCAAATTCAGTTCCCAGCAACATCTGGCCTATCACAACTGCCTCCAGCTACAGCCCCAAAGGATCCAATGCCCTCTTCTGGCCTTTGCTGACACTGCTGTCATAATACAACACACACACACACACACACACACACACACACACACACACACACACTTGTGCTCAGTTAAAAAGGAAACTTTTTTTTAAAGGAAGAAATAAATACTTGGACACAATTACTGGAAACTGAATAAGTACCAAGAGTAGCTGATTGGTCCATATGAGCCGCCACAACCATTTGGATGCCTAGGTGTTTTAGAGGCGACGTTGTATTGTTTTTAAAATGGAATAATTTAATTGACAAACCTATGTGAGTAAGGGTGAGTTCTTAGAAATTTGATGAAATGTTAGGATAAATAGAAATCAGTGGGGCAGATGCATGGTATGGCCAGGTTCACTGTGATGCACTGGGAATGCCAGTGCTGGGGATGTAGAGACAGACTAATCCCTGAGGCTCACTGTCTAGCCAGCTACAGACCAGTGAGAGGCCTCATTTCAAAAGAGAGAGAACTATGGTCATGGATGGGCCTGGGCAAGCCAGAAATGGAAACCGAGTGGATATAAATGCGATATGCATTCATCAATGCACCATATTTAAAAAAAAATAAATGAAGTGAGCTCTGGGTGGGGAAAAAGAGTCAAGCAGATTAAGTGTACATTCCGGAGAAATGATATCCAAGGTTGTCTTCTGGTCTCTGCATACCTGTACATGCACGTGTATATGTTGACCTACACACATACTCACCTGGCAGGCACACCAAGATAAAAGTAGTCACATAGGTAAGTTATTTTTAAGAAAAAAAAAAAAACAGAAGAGGTCGGAGCAGAGAGTTTCCATAATTTAAACATAGAAGCCAATTCCTACCCAGCAAAGCCGAAGTCCTCACTCATCTCTCTGGGAGGCAGACACAAATTCATGGGCAAGGAGGAGAGGATTGTGAGTATTTTTACTGAGGGCCCCCCACAGTCAAAAGATAAAGACAAGAAAGACACATATTGATAAAGAAATTTTAATAACCAGAAGGAAAGGATAACACTTTTCAGCTTACAGAACTTGAGTACAATTACCTGACATCTACTTTTTAAGAGAGAGAAGGGAATTTAATTGAATGCACAGTTAGACATCTATCAAAATGAATTTTCTTTAAAAACCTCATATAACAATATCCCATTTCTTTCTCGGCATAATGATTTCTTACCAACAAAGCCTGTCAGTGTTTCCTAGAAGCAATATTGAAGTGACTCCTTGCTGGAAATGCAGCAAATGAACTTTTTCTGCTCCCAGAATCTCGCTCCTCATTAGGCTAGTTAGAAATCTGCCCGGGGCTCCCATCCCTTCTTCTTTCTGATGGATGATAACTGAGGAGCAGCTAATGGACACTTTAACTGTTAGGGGGCTTTCGATTCAATCCCTGGCAGCCTGGCAGCTCACTCTGAGCCCTTTCAGAAAAGCTGCAATAATATGCACAAATACGATGGTTAAATATGGGCTGGAAGGGAATTGGCTTTTTTCCCCCCTCCCTTTCCCATGACTAAGGAGGATACTTGTTAAAAAAAAAACCAGCAAATAATTTGCAAAGGCTTCTGGCAGACTCAGACCCTCACCCCTGGAAAAGATCTATCCCACCCGACAGTCCTTCCACTAATTTGCTCCTGCAAGGAGCAAAGGGGAGAAGGAAGCTTTCTCTCTACTTCCACTTTTGCAGACACTGCCTCCTCCCATGGGCCGTGGCATCACAAAAATTTCTTTTAAAATATCACTTAATAACAATTGCTAATAGAATCAAACATTCTCAAAATACCCTGAATTTCAAATGAAGGAAAATTGATAAGTACCTGTGAATGTAAAATATTTTCATGTAAATAAATGTTCCCTGAGAAGAGGCGTAATTAGGGCTTTTCAATATTATGATCGCTTTCTCTCACTCCGTGCTTCTTTTGTGTCCTCGTGGCCCCTAAATAGCAGCAGGATAAATTGGTCAGCAGCTGTTCTCTTGTGAGCCATGCCTCTTCCCTGCTCCATCTGTTGGACAGTTGTGTTAGTAATTATAGCTCTTGCACTTCCCGGTTCCTCTCCAGCATCTATGGTGCAGAGGGTTTGCTTTCATAATTCGTGACATCATCCTTAATCTATGGGACGAATTAGGCTCGAGGAAGACATTAGCTAGACGTTTCACATCATTTAGATTCAGTAACCCACACATGTCTAGACATTCAAATGAGATCAGAAAAAAAAATTGATTTAGCAATTCTAGACATTGAGGGAAGAGCAAGTAAGTCTTCCACAGGCAACCAAAAGAGAAACTTTTTCTGGCTCTAAATATGGATGAAGGTGGCAAGCCCCAGACAGGCTTGTCTTTTTACATGTAAGGACTTTTTTTCAAAGCTATAAAGATACTCCTGCAATCTTGGCTGGTGTGAAAGTGTCAAGGCATGATCCAAGACAACTCCTCCTGCTAGCAGGAAGGAGCCACATGTTGAGAGAGGCTGCCTTGACAGACCACTGCAGTTCAAAATTTGGTTTTGATGGGGTCGTTTCTCTAGATGTTACCACACAATTTCCAAAAATCAAGAAAAAGTACATTATATTGTATTTGGTGGCTGGTGGCTTGGGGACTCAGTGCTATAAGATCCATCTGGTGTGTCTCCTAAGACTGTCTTAGAACCAAGGGGTATTGCATTTGTGGCGATCTGTGTCTACTTCTATGGAAATAGTTTGTCTCATTGTTAGCTCAGATGGCATGACGTAATATAACACTACAATATTAGGAAAAATAATGTGACAGGGCAGATCAGGCCAGTGATGATGCATGGGAAAACTGTGGCACTTCGTCTGAAATCAGCCAGCCATGCTTTCAGCACAGCTATCGTTCAGAGGGCACATCACTTGTGTCCCCTTCAAACTTGGTGCCTCAGGGCCATGTAAAAGCCACATTGCTCATGGGCACAGAAGTAAAGTGAATCAAGGCAATGACAAAAAGTGACCTTTGAGAGATGCTGTGTCCCAGGAATAAATCTTAAAAGGTACAATTAGGGGTGAGCATGCAGATTCCCTGGCTTCTGTGCCACATGGTATCTGGAACTTACATCTGAAGCACATGAATGATGCTTCAGTGTGGTTCAGGTAGAAAGGACACTGCTCAGAAACCTCTAAGAAAGCCATATATATATATGTATATATATATATATATATATATATATATATATATATATATATTGCATGTGCATGAGTTTATGTGCACCATGTGTATGCAGGTGCTTACAAGGGCCAGAAGGTATTAGGTCCCCTGGATCTTTAGTTAAAGGTAGTTGTGAGCCACATGACGTGGATGGTAGAACCCAAACCCAGATTCTCTGCAAAATCAATCAGTGTTCTTTACCACTGAAACCTCTCTCCAGCCCAGAGCTTCACAATTTTATCCAAGCTCGGTTCTTCATCTGACTGATAGATTCATTCATTTACTACAGATATCATCCCTAGACCTTGTGAAGTATATAAAATTCACCCCAAGAATGTCATAGAGAATGGAATTTAGTGCAGAAACATCCTTTATGTGTGTAGTAGACACTGGTAACAAAGTTTTAAGAAAATCCTGGGAAAGTGAAAGCTATAGGGATATATTTTCACAAGAATATAAACATTGCAGAAATAGTAGGGATTCTCTTATGTTAATTTGAGAAAACTTGAAATGTATAATGAGAAGAACAAAGCACAAGAGCCATGAGGAGACTGAGACAGTTTGGTTAGCTGCCAACCTGGATGCCTTTATCCCTTCTTCTCCTATTGCCCCTTCCTTTGTGTTGAGTTGTGTGGAAGCATGTCTTTACTTATGAAGTCAGGATTGATCGTGAGATTCCCTCTGCTTGCCACAGTGGAGGGATGGAGTCAGGTTATCTCTTTAAAATGAGTACAAGTCTATAGTGTAAGCTATGTCAACATTTTTATGCAGTTGTATAACTCCTGGGATAATATCCCCTAATCCATGATGGAAAAGGAACATGCACTTTGTAGATTAATTTTTCTTTAATTTTACCTTGCCGAGCTCTGCAGATCATTAGCTAGCTATGCAATGGATAAGTACAATTATTTACCAAATTTTCTGAATTATTTAATTCTGAGAGAGCTGTTCTTTCCGTATGGCTCCCTTTGAGTGAGGTTGTACTTTTTTAATATCTGAAAGAGAAATACAAAAGAGGTACTTAGTGACTTGTCAAAATTCATATGCCATATCACCAATGGCTGCCAGCAAAGTCCTCCCAGCTAGCTGTTTGAGTGACTGTCCACGATTTCTACCTGAAATCCTAACCCCAGGATAAGTTTAGGAGGTGAGGAGATCCTCAAGGGTTCTTCAGGAGAGAAGTAGTCCTGTGCATGTCAGAGAACGTCTCCGTGTATCAGAGTCTCATGGAGGAGCGTTTGTTGCTTAATAACTCTCTAACTGCCTGGAAATCAAAGTGAATGAAAAATACACATGGCTTTGTCTCTACAGACTGTGCTGGTAAAATTCTTTTTGGACAGGGTTTCTATAACACAGGCCAGCCTCGGACTCTCTGCTCCCTCTATGTAGCCCAGGATGACTTACGACTCTCAGAAATCCTCTTATCTCAGCCTCTTGGATGTTGGGATTAGATTAACTATTGAATGTTGGAATTAGGCTAATTAATTAATTAATAATTAGATTGTTAAACAAAACAGAGCGAAACAGAGTCAAGCGAATTCATGTGGAACACAGGATATGTAAGTTGCAGGGAGGCTGAAGTTAACAGAGAAACAAGAAGGGATTACTTGTGGTTACACCGTCAAGAATAAAAGGAGACACTGGAAATGGGGAAAACAGCGGCTAGTATGAGAGTCAGAGCTCACCAAAATCTGGAAAAGGAGGGATTAAAAAGCAGAGCCATGGGGCACGTTATGGAAGAGAGAGTGGAAAGACCATAAGAGCAAGAGCAAGGGGTTGAGTGTCGTGAAACTGCCTTCTCATCACGACATGGATGTTGCACACTTGAGTACTCACTGCTTATGATGAACTGCACACAGCCTGGTAAGAACGGGCCAGTTAAAATTGTGTCATGGAAGAGCAAGGAACTCAGGAGGTCCTCCTCTCTCTGAGGATTTATAAATAGTTGTTACCATGGTTACTGGAGCAGGAGAAACATTTTCTACTTTCTGTGGGGGTTTAACCACTCTCAAGGTTCCCATGGTCCTGTGTAAATAACCCCACATTCATGGTCTTATAATAATCAACCTTAATGAAACTGATGGATGTGTTTGTTTGTTTGTTTGTTTGTTTTTGAGATTGGGTTTCTCTGGGTAACCCTGACTGCCCTGGGACTCACTATGTAGACCAGGCTGGCCTCGAACTCACAGAAATCCACTTGCCTCCTGAGTGCTGGGATTAAAGGCATGCACCACCACCACCTGGCAAGGAAACTGATTGAAACAGATACTACTGTCAGGGGACTGGCTGCAGAAGGAGTCAGGGGGAGATCAGAAAGGAAAGTATGGGAGCATTATGATCAAAATACAAAATACAGGTGTAGAAAATGCCACAATGAAACCAATTATCATGTATAATTAATATATTCAAATCAAAAAACTTTAAACAAAAACTTGTAAAAACACAAAGCCAATGGGACGGGTTCAAGGAAGACATAAAGCAACACAATCTTCCACTAAAATGTATGCTGCACATCTACTGTGGCAGATACAACACACACAGCACTGTGATGTGAGTTCAACTGTTTTCGCTTTAGGAGACATAGTGTGGTGACATGTGGGAGATGTCCCAATGGTGCTCACATTTCTCCCTGGGAGATAACATAAGTTCTTAGACAAAAAAATGGGAGTGTTCTAGGTGAAGACAACTATTTTTTGCATTTTCCCAAATATCACCAAACTAGTTAGGACTAGTGCTTCCTTCTCAGTTCCTAATAAATGAGTGATGCTGTATGACAAACCCCTTAGTTTGCAAGATAGCAAGTTCTGTAAACTGAGGGACCATGTATCACACTTCTTCATTTTGCCTTAATAACCTTGAGGTAGAACCTTGACCACTGGGGTCTCCATAAAATACATTTTTAAGAATGAGAAAACAGATTGATGGATGCATGCACATATGTACACATTCACTGGTCCCTAATTACAGTTCACAGGGACCACAGTTTACACAACTCCTCTCTTCATTTATATTTACTCGTTTGTTTGCTCTACATATATTTCCCTCCTTACATCATAAAAGAGGGTAATGAAGTCCTCAGTTCTCCTGTTTGAAACCTGCCCCATGCCTTCTCAACCACATGAACTTCATTTGTTCTTCAACACCATAACCACATTCTAGCTACCTAGAAATCACAATAAAAACCTCCGTTCGATTCTTTTGAAAGGAAAAAAAAACATGCAATTTTTCTTTACTTCCTCAAAAATGATACAGCTTTAGAAAATATTAGACTTGTGACCAGCTTTCTAATTCAGAGCTAAAGTGTTACCTTCCATTGTGTCCTAAATGAACATAATGTGCTCTGATAGTGTTCACCTAGTTCAGATAAATGGGAAGTTTTTTGCAGTTACTCTGAGAGGTGCATCAGGACTCTTTTTGGAGTGTTAATCAGCTTTTGCCAAACTCTGGTGTCCCCAGAGTCTCTACAGAGACACAGAACATCAAATTATCTGAAGGAATGATGACGAAAAAAGTTTGATTATTCTGAGACTGTTTTCTGACTTTCTAAACCCTCAGACAGTCTGGGAACTAATGCGACTGCTCACATATTTCTGAAACGCTCTCCACCTTAGCTCTTGGTACAAGAATGAAAGTACAGTTCAGAAATAGAGTAAGACTGTGTTGAGACAGGAGCTGTGTGACATAGATCTTAGGGACGTGTCTTATTTCACAATTTTCCAATTGATTCTTGGTACCTTATGATTCTAGGCTCTTCATGTCTATAAGAAATGGTGTAGAAGCCTTTTGAGACACTCATAAACCTGCAATTGTACCATCAATACTATAGGCATGAATGCACATGGATGTAATAGTGTTTTACATTCATTTGGTAAATGCATGGTAAATTTGTATGTAAATAATTCATATTGAGTGTTAAGAGCATTCATAAGAGAGAGCACATTGTGTCTTCCCTTGGTGATGGTTCACTGGGTAACTAGATAGTCATATAATTAGAAAAGTATATAGTAAATATACTTACATATAGTAAATAAAAACCTAGAAAAAATCTTCTACAGAATTCAATGTCATATCTATCATCTATCTAGGAATCTATCCATTGGTCTATATATTTATCACATATCTATAAATTATACATCTATTTGTTTGTCATCATGTATCTAGTTAGCTAGCAAGCTACATGTCTATCATTGCTATATTTTTCACATGGTCTAGAATGGGGAAGATTATAATGGAAGCTTGATTCATGAGTTTTGAAGACTAATTGTGGTCTAGACAAGAAGGTTATAGTACTGTGGAAATGAGGACCATTTGAGGACATAAACCAAACATGAGTCAAAATTAGCCCAGCAAAAGTGCCCAGGAAAGGTATCCTAATGGGGGGGGGGTGATCACCATCTGAGCCCATACACCAGGAATCTCTGTTTACTTTTTACAGTGGGTATGAATATCTGCAAAGTAAATATGCTCAGATTTGTACATTTAAGAATCACCTAATATCCTTAATAGGAAGGATGATGATGATAAAAGTAATTCACTAGAACAAATATATGCCACTTCTAAGACTATTTTTGTCAATTGATATCTAGGTAGCGTTCTTTAAATTTTTTAAGCAGTTCATTTCTTAGAACAATTTGATGAAAGAGTTAATATCACCTCTGTGTCAGGTGACAGAAGTCAGAATCATAAAGGTGAAGACCTTACTCAAATAAAGATATGTAAGAGGCAGAGTTGAGAGCCAACCTTGGCAACAGTCTGCTACTTTGTTTGCTTAGAATTTGTTTGCTGTATATGTTTGGCTAAGAATAAAGCTATTTACAACAGATGATTTTAATAGCTTCCTAATATTGTTTCAAAGGTATATATCAAAAGGTAATGACATGGTTCGCTTTCTAGTAAACAGTTTGTTTTCAGATTTTTTTTAATGCTATGAACAACAAAGATATATTAATTCTTATCTTTGCAAACACACCTCCAGCACAAAATCAGTTCTTAGCAGTGAAATGGCTGGATCAAAGGATATGCATATTTTAAGGATTTTTTTTACTTATTCTGTTCTCAATCACTCCCTAGAAAGATTTTTCCAATTTACATTGCCCCATCAGGGACTGAGATGATCAATTTCTCTAAGCTCTCACCAGAAATTATTATCTTTCATTTAAATCTTGACAGCTTGAAAATCTGAGTAGATCTGACTGTAGTTTTAACTCAAATTTTTATTATAAATCAGATATCGTGGGTATCCTAGCAATTTCAGAACAAGAGAGCAAAGAATAAAAAGTCCAAGGTTTCCTCTGCCACTTAACAAATTCCAGGGTAGCATGAGCTACTTGAGATTCTGTTAAATAAAAAAATAACAAGGCTTCTTGAATATTTGGTTTCATGCTTAGAAAATACACCTATCTTCAAGTTTATATCATTTTTGTTCTTATTTTTATTGTCTTTTATGGTTTTGATTTTATGGAATCTATTACTTAATGTGTAATTTGAAAGAGTTTGCTTCCTCAAATAATTACTCACTTAAAGTTTATAAAGTGTCTTTTAGCCTCTAATTTCATTTTCACCATAATTTTGTTCTTCAAAATATTTGTAAGTATAATATTAACACATTGGGCAATGTAGAACCGTACATCAGTAGTGTATAATTTGATAAATCAGCCCTTTTCTTTGTACCTTCATCTTTAGGATAATGGTTCCTTTCATTTATTGTTTTAAATGCTTGTTTTTAATTATGCAAACTACACAAATTTACTGTAGAAGTAAAATAAAAGAAGACAAGCAATAATTTCTGTTAGGTTTTTAAGTTATATCATTTGAGTTCACTGGTTATTTATTGGTGTTTTCAAGGTATCAAACTTTGTAATTTTTAGTTAATATTTACTTCAATTGGTTTACTGCAGTTTGGGGTTCCATAGCTGGACTGAGAGGAACATATATATTTCTCACTTATCTTTTCTCCAATCTGTGCATAGTGCTCCTCTTCCACATTTTCTGCCCG